ATTGTTATCACCATCATCATGGCCATCATTACCTAGATGGTCATCACTTCGTCATCATCTTCATCATCAGCATTCGCATCATCACCATCATCTTGGTTGTCATCATCATCTTGGTTGTCATCATCATCATCATCATTTTCATCATCATCACCATCATCCTCATCATCATTATCATCGTCGTCCTAACTGACTGACAAAGCAATCATTCATAAATTTGGGTGCTCACATTTTTCTCGGTCACAGATAGTTATGATTGAAAAAATTATACATAAAAATATCTTTTGATACTACTACTACTATTACTACCACTGCTACTACTACTACTAATAATAATAATAATTCTACTACTATTACTACTACTACTACTACTACTACTACTACTACTGCTACTACTACTACTACAACTGCTACTACTACTACTACTACTACTACTACGACAGTCATTATAATAATGTATAGTAATTATGAAGTAATTATAAATAGAACTATGAATGGAAGAGTTAATGAATAAATGAATGAACGAGTGAGTTAATGAATAAATGAATGAACGAGTGAGTTAATGGATAGATGGATTAATGAACGAATAATTGAACAAATAAATGAACTAATGAATGAATTAGTTTAACTAACAAATGTTTTATATCATTAATACTTCCAAGAATATTTAAATAAAATTAGATTTAAAAGAAAATTAATAAAAAAATCATTTTTTCTCTCTTTTTTTTTAATTACACGAATCGGAAGAATGCCTGCCAGGTATAATGAATGCTATTTTCTGACAGACAATGAATGAATTGAATGCATTGAGTTAACGTTCAGAATGAACGAACGAATGAATGAATGAATTAATTGATCTAATAAATGAATGAGCGAATGGATGAATAATTTCTGGGCTGATAATCATTCCCATATGTAAATCTGACAAGCAAGGATTGTGGTTTGGCCGCGGTCAGGGGCTAGAGGACGAGAAAATGAAAGAATATGAAAACATGGATACACACACACACACACACACACACACACACACACACACACACACACACACACACACACATACACACACACATACATACATACATACATACATCTATACATATATACATCCATCCATCCATCCATACATACATACATCCATCCATACATTTTTTTTTTTCCAATTTATTTTGTCAAAACAGGTAATCAAAAAAGAAAAACTTGTGTAGACTACCTTAACTAAATGGTGCAATTAAATTATATCATTTTAGTAACATAAAACGGACAGAAATGTTCAAAAACAAAATAACAATAAATTGATAATATAATTCAGAACAGTTTTAATTTAAAACGAAAATCGAATAAAATTAGAGTTACCTATTATCGCATCAAAAATAAAGTTAACAATTTAATATTTTAGATTTCACAACGTGTTTAAAGTTGACAATTGACATCGATTTATACGCGTTAATAGCTAGTCATCCC